TTGTTGTTGTTCTATTTTAGTTTTAGTCATCCTCGGAGACCCAGGGGCAGATAGTGGGGGCGAGGGTTAGTCTAAACGGGCGAGAAAATATGGCACAAAAGAAAAAAAAGAACGGCCAGAAGAGCCCCTGGGTCTCCGAGGATGAGTTTTAGTGGAAACAATCGAGTCATGAGAAAAACTAAAATTTGTATCTTGTCTTATTTATTCCAACAGCGATCGACTCATGTTGTTAATTACATGTGCCTGTAAAAATAACAATTTTTCCGTTCATGAAGGAATACTGAAAATGTCAGAGGCTACTAGAATGTGAACCTATTCAAATGTTAGTTACTCCTTACCGCCTCTTCCACTGGGGTATATAACTGAAACCATATTTTCAGAAATAAAAATGAGAAAACATATCTCTAGTAACGATATACTGTTTAATGACTCAATTTTTTCAGTCTTAAATATATAAATTTACAGTAAAAAGCATGGGAATCAATACAATCTACAATAGTTAATTTAAAATTCTACTCGAATACTAGTAGTAGAAGATTTTTTAAAAAAAATAACAATTTATAATCGATTACCAGACGTTAAGGAAAATTCCTTCGTTACTTTTCAGAAAGGATTCGACCAGAATAATCTTAAAATACATGGAAATTTAAACCTAAATAAAACCGGGTATGTTTGCAATATATGTAACTCAGGGAGGTAGAAACTACGACCAAGTTTTATTTATTGTTTCGACAATGAAGTACGTTTGTTTTTATCGGATTTTGTTGTTGTTGTTGTTGTTGTTGTTGTTGTTGTTGTTAAAGTAAATTAAGTTAAACTTAATTTCAACAGGATGGCCCATTCAACTCGGGGATTCAGTCTCCTTAGGCGAATTTTTGCGCTATCAACATGTTCATCATTATCTGATGAAGCTAAATAAAACAAAACCTCTGAATATTGAAAGACCACAACAATTTCAGTTATCTCTGAAAATTTGAGCTCGACATACCAAATGGTTTCGGGGAAAGGCTCCTTTAAAGACTTGAAATTTTACAAAGAATGTATGGCTCATGAAATTTTTTGCCACCCAGCCATTTGGCAGTTTTCGATGGCTGATATTTCTTTTAATATTACTTTAAAGAGGTGAAAATTGCATAAATTGCTCAAGTTAATCAGCTCTTCCAACTTTTGAATTTAGTTCGTATATACGACCACGGCTTCTATGAGTTAAATAATACGCTAATGAGAAAAAATGTAAGAAATGACGCCAGCAAAGATTCGCCTATAGGAGCGCTGCGTCCGCTTAAATACTACTTTACATTATTCAATAATTTGTGTTATTATTTGTGTTATTATATTATTCTTGTATCTTTAATTTTAATTTTAATGTTAATCGAAAGGATCGTGCCCTCAGCTACACAGAGATCTAATTTAGGTAATTCCTAACTAAGGCAGTCTGCCCATATGCTGATAATGATCCAATTTACAAAAAGAGGGGACTGTCCTAGATTTTAACTGCACGTTAATAATCCTGCATTTTTGGACAATTCCATTTCGGTAACTTGGTTTCGCTTTCGAACTGATCATCGAGGTAGCGGAGCGCAGATTCTATTTTAAGTTAATCCTACCCTTACCAAATCCAACAGTGTTTTGAATGTATTTTTAAGCTATTTTTGAAAACTGTTTTTAACCTGTTTTGTGAAGAAGGTTTTAAATAGGGTGAAAAGTGTATTGTATTTTAATGTATTTTTCAACTGCTTTTAATCATATTTATTAAACAAAATACATTGTAAATTGATGAGAGCGGTTTTCCATATGGAATACAATTTAACTACGTACTTCAGATATATTTCAAACAGGGGTGGAAATTTAAATTTTTTTGTCAAATAGGATTAAAATACAGGAAAATAGTGTTCAAATACTGAAAATACATTTTAAATACTTTAAAATCAGTTTCAAAATACATATGGTTTGGTAAGGGTAGGCCGCTATGGCGAAGGCAAGTGTTTTGTTATAGCAGGAACCGAGAGTGCTCTTCTACCTCTGGTATTTCAGAAGTCACGTCCAACGAAACTGGCGAACTATAGATTTATGGTAAATACCTGACAGCCGCCACCTCTGGAAATGCAATATAAGAACGGTTTCCTGCTAACTTAAACGGGAAATGGAATTCGGAATTAGATTAGCTAAAAAGAAAGCTACCTAAAAGAAACTTGTTGTACATGTATGCCCTTTTTCTGACGTTATCGAAATAAGCTTGCTTGCTCATTTAAAAATTAGAAAAGTTTTCCTGAGATGAAAAGATATGTATTCGATTTAAAGTGTCGCAACATTGAGTTATTTTTGAAATATATATAGTGACCTAATGCTGGGTTTCATCATTGAATTTTAATTTTAGTCATTGCCTTCCAGGAATAGCTAAGATACACTGTCTTTCTAATTCTGGATGCAGATGACATTTCCAACCACGAAAAAGCGTTTAAATCCAACCTCACTCTTTCTTTGATATGGCCGGAGTGTTCCTCTCAAAAATACAAGACAATAGCCTTGTTTTGTCTTCTCATTAGACGAGGTAGATAAGCGTAACTGACATTTAATGAATAGTTAAACAAGCAAACTTACCCTCATTTCCATATTCAGTTATTTCTTGTTCCTTTTTCTCTTTTTCTTTTCTTTTCTTACGACTGGTACCAGTAAAGATGTACCTTTTTCACTTCCATACTGATATCTATTTTTTCATTTCATTAATTCCGAAGGGCATTCTGCCCAGCTACTGATAATCATCCTAAAAATTAAAGAAGAAGGGATTGTTCTTGATTTTAACCGCACAATACTAATTCCTAGCTTCAACCACTTGTAGTTTATAGAAGAAAGTTTCCACTCCTGTAACTTGGTTGTGTTTTTCAAACTGAGGTAACGGATGCAGATCTATTTCAGGCTAATCCGTCCGGATCTGTCCTGATGCTGGCGTGAGATAGTTAGACTTAATCGGCGTTTGATGATACTTGCGGTGAAATTTAGTCCAGTTTTCAACCAAACTGGCGAGCTGTAAATGTTTCCTGAGTACCAGAGTAGCGCCTCTGCGTGAGAATCTGTTGTGAAATCTAAGATCGATTCCTTACTAATTGGAACGGAAAATCGAATTATAGGATTATGTTCTTAAGCTGAAAGGAAAGCTGCCTAGGAAACTGGTTGTACAGGTGATGACCTTTCGCGCTTGTCGAAAGAATTTTCAGGTTTTCCGCAAATAAAGAGATATTTGATTTAAGGTTGATATTTTAAGAGCATTTAAATTCAAAGCCTCTGGTGCAAGAACTCTTTCTCTGATATAGCCTGATTTTTGATGTGAAAATACCCCTGTTTTTTTCTACAGTCACAAAAGCCATGTTTTGTCAAAGTAGATAGGTGTCACTGACATTTAAATAGTTCAACTGGTTTACTGGAGCCAGTAAAGATATACCTTATTCTTACCAACTTTTTCATCTACCCTTAATTTGAAGAAGATTCTTAAGCAAGCAAACAATTTGAATGCTCGTTTTGGGAGAGAAAATAAAAAACAGAGTTTTAATTTTATAAATCTCCAGAGGGCCAGTTTTCTTTAATTTAGCTTTAAGAACTTTTTAGGAACGTCACAGTCAGTAAACTCACCTAGTACTAGTAACGAACAGTTTGGTAAAGCAAGACAACCCGGTCCTTACATATATTCATATGCGACTTTTGATACTATTCTTGATGTGATGTCGTTCAATTTTGTGACGATGTTTTTGTGATTTCTCTTCGTTGTGTAGCTGTTGCCGTTAATAAGGGAATCTGGGGTTCAGTTGTTTTTTTTTCGTCAGAGCCATAAAACCATTAAAAAGAAAAAAGTAAACTTAAGTAAAATGATCGTTATATAACTACAACATAACAAAACAAAAAGCAAGCAAAAGAGAAATAATGCAATAATGGACAAATTCATCCTTTTGCAAATATCATACTTCGGTAAATAATTTGTAATTCTTGCTTTCTTTGGATTGGTTGATTTTTTTTGTGGAAGAGGCAATTAGACGGGACTGTCCATTTGAATAGGCCAACATGTTAAGTTGCTGATGTTCTGGCATTTCCAATATGCCACCATCAATCAGGTTGACAATTTACTACAGGGGAATGTGATTTAAACCATGTAAATCTCTGTTTAAAGAAATAAATAAAATTTTTGTAAGAGCGTTTCTCCTAGTAGTGAACCTCACTTAAACTTGCTTGAATGCGTTTTCCAAACTGACTAACATTGTAGAGGGGCGAGGATCCATTATATAAAGCTATGAAATTATCCTACTTATCACGTTATTACCTGACATATTCATTGTTTATTAGGGGCCAACGAGACCTTTACAATATAATAATGCTAGCTATTTTTTGTCAAATTTTAAGAGTGAATGTTTACTAACAGCGAAGGGTGGCACTCGATAAAAAATCAGACTCTTTCATATTTTGCCCAGAAATACGTTATATTAAACCTAGAAACGTACTAGTGGGATTCTTTTTCTTGGAATGTTCTTTGAAACCGGATAAACTGGAATAATCTGTTTTGGCACCACGTGTCTCAAAACATCGCTCGGCAGTGATCGTGAAATGTCTATAAATCGTAAATTTACAGATTTTTTTATAAGAAAGTAAATCTTTCCTACTTTCACATATAGATAACAAAATGCTTGTAGAATCCTTTTTGCAGACATTTTATACAGCTTTTGATATCTATATTTCCACAATGCTAATGAAATGACTTTAAAAGAAAAAGAACCACGACCTCCCAAAACACTGATACAAGTCCAGTGCAACAGCTTCAGCTCCGGCTTCGGTTTCGGCAACGGTTTTCACCGCTCATTATTTGCGCACACGGCAAACAAAAACCGGAAGTACGCAGGCTAAGAGGAGCGTTTCTGAAATTTTTTATCAAGCCCGTGCAGTTCGAGCATTTCAAATGTCATTGGCTCCGTTCGGCGCTCGTTAGTTTGGAGTGCGGCAACGGGTACCCCTCCCAA